AAATTAAATAACAAAAATAAATAATAATAGTTGGGAAGGCTTGTCAAAATTTGGTGCGACTAACATCTTCTCGACCTCTGTATGTAGGTTAATATTATATGCACATTTTTTATTCTTTATTTGTTAACTACATATACATATGTAGATGAATTACATTAAAAAAAAATAGCAGAAAGACCAGTAGTATATCAAAATACATAATTTTTATTTTTTTTTTTTGTAAATAAGGACATATCTATGGGTTGGGAGTTTTACGAAATTTCGGGAAAAATCGGAAAATTTCATTATCGAAATCGGGGAATTCTCAAAAATGAGATGAAAAAGTACTTTAATGCTTTGCCGTACGCATATATGTGAAATCAAATTTCATGAGTACGTAGTACTCATGCCTTTTTTTCTACGTAATTCTTATTTCCTGAGCCTATATAAGTTAGGGAGAACATACATTTTAATTATGGGACAACATGTTGAATAGCTTACATTGTTGCTTGCAAAATGAGCCCTCTCTCGAACTCTCTCTAAATAAAAAAAACCTACCTGAAAATACAATTAGTAAAAAAGACTTTTACGTTACAAATAGTTGTCCATCGAAAACATATGCATAATGAAGAGTATAAGAAACTATTTTTTTTTTTATTCTGGAAGAAGACCGAAAATGCTCGAAGAAAACTAGATTTTCCAATTTTTTAGCCTGGTGGATTCCGCGCCAGAAATCTTTTTGATATTTTGGACTGTTACATTACATTAAAAAATACTGCCGACTTTGTTTTCATATAGAAAGCTTATCATTGATTTTTTTGTCGAATAATTTTTTTTGTAACTTCAAAGTAATATAAGGCAAGCGAAGAGAGGCTAGTATAATGCAAAAAATGGTGGTCCTAAAATATAAACTATCCTTTAGTTCCATGTTGAGCTTTTTTAATTTTAATTAATTAAAAGGTGTCTCAGGTTTAAGTAAATTTTTATGTTTATTAGAAGTAAATTCATGTTAATATTTATTTTGGCCGATACCTTAGGATATGTATGACCCAGATATAATCAAAACTCTGCGAAACCTGAGAAAACAATTGTTTACCCTTGGTTTCGTTTTCGGCGATTTAGGCCATACATATTTTTTTCGGTATAGAAGAATCCTAGGGAGTGAGTGCATTAAAATTTGGACCTTACTTTTTTTTGACCACTCTAATATACACTCAGCGAAATACTTACATTTTTGAAAGACTTTTTTTTAAATATAACACCGTACGACAAAAACAAAAAAATTCAAAACACATGAAGCAGCCAATATAATCACGAAACTATGGGCCAAATAAAGTAAAACTGCGTTTTTAGTTTTTCTCTCTGACGTTGGATTTTTTTAAGGACTGTAATTTCAAAAATATGAGTTAATTCCAAAAATTATTTTAAAAATTCAGTGCCATGTAGAAAAACAATATGGGTACCAAATGAAAGAAAAAATTTAGCAGAGTTAAAAATAAATATATTTTTTTGGTTTAAAAGGACGAATATATATTGAAAATGGCCTAATTAATTTATTTTTTCAGTCATCGACTAAACTCCGCCGTGGGCATACGTTTGCTCTCTATAGCGGATCACGTTTGACTTTATACCCGCATTAGTGCAGTGTTCTTGTCTTCATCATTCGCATTTTCCCACGTGTTTCTTTATTTTGTGCATTTACATTGACAAAGTTTCATATTACTGTGCGCCTAACAATATAAGTGTGCAACATGCCCCCTGGGGCTACAAACCTAGGGGAAAACAGGTTTGCCCCGCTTTCCTCTAGTCCTCAATCAAAAAGAAAAAAGCCAACAAACCCTTAGAAGAGTTTCCTGAACTACCTCCGGCAAATTTTACGCGGAACGACGATCCTAAATTCATTGTTCTCAAATCGTGCGACAACAATAAACCTCTATCACGTTTTTCGTGTTTTTTGGTACATAAAGCTCTAAATGCCATACGTAAAGATGCTAGGATCACAGAGCTGAGAGATGGAAATCTCTTGCTACTTACAAAAAACAAAAAAATTACTGAAAAGTTCATCAACGTAGAAAACCTACCAGGAATCTGTCAAATCGAAGCAAAATACCATGAGCAGCTCAATTGTGTCAAAGGTACAATTTTCGCCCCGTTCCTCAATCACGTCCCTTACCAAGAAATTG